GGGCAATCTACTTCTGTAGTGATACTGCCTCGGAAACCCAAGGAGGGGTTGCTATGAGTCGGGTCTGACTCAAAGGCACTTAACAACAACAACATATCTGCTGTTAGGCTATACTCTTTGATTTCAGAGAGTGTGTCTTAACCATATTTGTTGTACCTGCAATGTCTGGCTCATAGTAGAGTCTTAATAAACATTGGCTGAATTGAGCTGATAGAATACTACTTAAACCTAATGTGATTTCATTTAACATCTATTTCTATTGAACAATACCCACTAACATTCACATTTTTAGCAATGTTGCAAGTAAATAAAGAATTTTGTTTTAAGATGCTCTATCTGAACTTGGATTTTGGAGACAAGTGTAACCACTATTAGCAAACAGGTTTTTGGCTTTGTTAAACATAAGTTACCTTCATTGCATTCTAAAATCCTGTAAAAAGTGTGTTTAACATGCAGCGCACCAATGATGAATATTTATTACTAACTTACCAAATAGTGAAATGCTAAAAATCTTTTTGTCATTCATTCTTTAATTCATTCAGGCACTTTAAAATACCTATCCATGTGACACAGTAATTATGAATATAGGTCCTGGAGCAAGAATGCCTAGTTTCAAATCTTTATGTGATTTCCAATGAGTCCCTTTAACTTCTCTGGTCTCAGTTCACGTATTTGGAAAATAGGATTACTAATAATGTCATAGGCTTATGGAGGGTGGGTGGAAGTCATTAAGTTGATTCTGACATAGGCTTTTAGTGAAGATTAAATCAGTATATGTGCATGAAATCATTATACATGCAGGGAACAGTGCCTGACATTTTATAAGTCCATTTAAGCATTAGTTATTATATATAGAATATGTGCTTTTAGTAACAGGATGAGCTCCACTGAGGTCAGAGATGTCTGCTTCCAAGATAATGAGGAAGTGCCTTTTTATTAATGTATAGGCATCAGCATTAGTTACTTAGGTAACCTGAGTGGCACAAACTCGACTGCTAGCTGAAAGGCTGATGGTTCAAACCTACCCAGAGCACCTTGGAAGACAGGCCTGGTGATCTGCTTCCAAAAGGTCATAGCCTTGAAAATGTATGGAAGAGTTTTACTCTGTCACACATGGGGCCACCATGAGGTGGAAGAGGCTTGAGAGCAACTAACGACAATTAGCTATTTTAAGCTAAAACTTGTCAGTTCTGAGAGGAGTTATAATTAATAATTCCTATTTTATTTTCTTCCCCTTTAAATAATGAAGAAATTTGGTGGTATTAAAAAAAAAGATGACGAGTAAGGTAGTGGAGACCGCAAGGATTTATATACATATATATATATATATATATATATATATATATATGGTAATCAGTTTAGGAAAAATATGAATATTGTAGTGCTTAGACACTTCCAAGTATTTAAAATTATTAGTATTGATCAAAAAAATAGTCATTTGTATTTTGTATAATGATACTTTGATAGCAAATTTTCTAATTCCCTGACAACTGAGTCTTGTCAAAAGTAGATTGATAGAACAATAGACACATCCCATGTTCTGCCTGCCCATCTTCTTTAAGGTAGCATAGATTCTTGAAATTACTCTCACTCCAGTGACTACAAGTTCGTGGTGCATTTAGCAAGAATAATAGAGTTTTTAGAAAAGAGGAAACATTCTAGAATGTAGTGAAAATAAGAACATTTAAAAATATTCAATCATTCAAAATCCTCATGAATGATTTCTTAAATCATTTATAGCTTAATTTTGGTTGATAGATATGGCATTTGAATTATGTTCTCATTCTTTATTCATGGGAGAAAGATCAAAATAAGCTGGCTATTTCACATTCTAAATAAATTCAATGTCATGTAGCTGGAATGTTTTAAATTGAAAGAAACAAATGTTGACATTAGGGAGAGTCAACGTATGCCTAACTGCCAGAACTGTTCAACTTATTTATGAAGTTTTTCGGGAGAAATGAGGTTTAAGTCATAACAAAAAGCATATTCAGAATGAAGTCCCATGGTACTTGGGCTCTTAGGCCATTCATATACCTTTACCATACACCTCTCCTTACCTTCAATGAACACCTCAGCAGATGTTGTGTCTGAGCCACTGGGGTTCGTAGCCAGACAGGTGTAGCGGCCTGTGTCCTCCTCAAAGGCCTCTGCTATGGTCAATGTATGGCGGTCCCCACCCTCACAGTGGATGTGAATGTCAGGAGTGTTGTGCAGCTCTTTCCCCTCAGAGAACCATCTGTAGCCAAATAGAGGTCAAGGGACAAGAGAGAAAAAAGGAAATGGTGGTGTTTAAAACAATAAAGCGGAAGTGAAAGACAAGATGTGATGAAATAAGATACTTGTTTGATTGAAAAAAAACTCTGTCAATGTTACCAATGGAAATTATACATCTTAGACCGTGAAATTAATGACTAGACAATTCCCATAGGCTCTCTTTGTAAAACATCTTGTACATTTTATCTACCTTGAAATAAGGGACATTGTCAAACTTGGAAAGGCTATTTGAATTACAAGATAAGAGAAACAGAAATTCAAAGTGTCTAATAAAATGTTTTAGAAGGAATGCCTTCTGTGTTTATTATACTTTTATCTATTGTCCTTATCTAAAGAAAAATAGAAAAGTAATATAAACATCATGTTCAAAATATCTGATGTATTAGGGAAACTTAGCATCTATGTTAAAAATCATAGGCAGCAATATTTTTGTTGACCCTAAGACTTCTGATCAGCTGAGCAGCAACAAATTTAATGCTTTCCACATTTCTGATATTAACAAAACTTTCTAGCAGACCACATGGCCTTAGAGACTTTAGAGAGATGAAGAGGCTATGCTGTAATTCATTTGTGGTGGTCAGCAATTTTCCTTTCCCAAACAACTGGGACAACCAGCACTTTGGTGTGGGAGACTGCAATCTCCCAGACTGCTTTAACACAGATCGTCTCTCAAACTTTGCCCTCCATTCCCTCAGTACCTCAAATTCTCAACAGGATTTGGTTGCTTTTACATTTTACACGCACACACAAAAAGCAAAGTTGCCTTGAAAACTTGCCAACTGTAAATTTATTTTAAAGAAATATGTAGGAATGTGCCACTTAGTGCAACTAAAAGGATAGATGTCTCCGGGACAATACCATCCATTTAGTTTTTAATTACCATTTCAAAATTTCCTAAATTTAATCTTCCATAAAGTTTTTTGAACTTGGCATCCTTTTGTGAAAACATGGCACTAAAGACTGACTCTCTAAATTGTTCTGCATTTTAGAATAGCAAAACATAGGTGTCTGTCAAAATCCAATTGAAAACAAATGTAATGAAACAAATCAGTTTGTTAATATTCCAAGTATTAACACCAGAAATTATGCTAGAAATTAAATATGGTAGACATTCAAAAGAACACAGATAGAAACTTGGGAATTTAACAATACACAGTATTGTTAATACACAGTACCCAGGCCACTGAGCATCCCATGCAATGCCATGAATATGACTTTTGGAGGCCAATTGAGAAGGATAGTATTTCTTGATTCTGGGGCATTTTGTGGTTTTCTTGGTTTCCATAAAGTCTTGGAGAACTCTCCAGCTTTGAGCTACTCACTCCCTTCTTTTCTGTTCTTTTCACAGCTCTAGTCTAGATTCTCACCCATGAGCACCGATTACAGCTTGTTGTGTTGTTGTTATGTGCCATCGAGTCGGCCCGACTCATAGTGACCCCTCCTTGGGTTTCTGAGGCAGTATCGCTACGGAAGTAGGATTGCCCAACCTTCCTTCCAAGGAGTGGCTGGTGGGTTTGAACCGCCAGCCTTCTGGTTAGCAGTCAAGTGCTTTAGCCACTATGCTACCAGAGCCGATTACAGCTATAGTCTTTTAATTGATCTCTCCATTTCCAGAAAATTATCAGTTCCTTCTAATCTGTCTTCAGACCAATGCTCTTGATTGAAACTGTCCCCTATATACATCATTCCCTAAACACTGATCTTCATTCAAAGCATTTCTTATAAATTGGCCCTATCTTTGTTTTCTATTATTTTCTAATATTAATCCTCTGCTTTTGTCAAATATTTGTGTTTATTCAATAATAAATATGCATTTTTTGTTTCATTCTCACTCTTCATATATTATCTGCCTACTTTCCTTTTCCCACACTTTGTTATCTTTGCAATTCTCCTTACTTTCTTCATTAATCCCATCTAGGGACTACTCTTGCTTAAAGCTAAGCTAAAGACTCCTTCAACAGATTAAATTTAACACATATTTGCTGAGTATCTCCTATGTGGAAGGTTTTGCATTACTTATTAGAGGAGAAAAGAATTATGTCTGGTGAATTCTGAAACTAATTTGAGTGTTTGTCTGTATTGTCAGCTCTCATGGCATAGTGCCTAAGGCATCTGACTGCTAACCAGAAGGCTGGTGGTTCAAACCCACTAGCCACTCCTCAGAAGGAAAGTTGGGCAATGTACTTCTGTAGTGATACCGCTTCAGAAACCCAAGGAGGGGTCACTATGAGTTGGGTCCGACTCAAAAGCAGTGAGTTTGGTTTTTTGGTAATTTCCATAAAAGAGATATAAACCAACTCAGAGGGGAAACTGAAGAAAGAAAAATACAACTGAGGCATCAGAGACAGAAAAATTAATTCCTTTTGGTTAGATGCACTTCATAGGGAAGCCTTCGCCAACCACCCAAGCAGAGGTAAATCTTGTCATTTAATTTACTGGGCAGCAAACTTCAGTTAGTGAGCCTGCTGCCTACTTCTGTATAGCCCAGAAGCTAAAGTGATTTTGTTTATTTTAAAATATTCCCAAAAAAATCAAATAAGGATAATGTTTTATGACACATGAAAATTATGGAAAGTTAAGATATCAGTGTCCATAAATAAAGGTTTACTGGAACAAAGCCATGCTCTTTGTCTGTATACTGTCTCTGGCTGCTTTTGTACTACAATGGAAGAGTAGTTGCAACAGAGACTGTGTGGCCCACAAAGCCTAAAGTAATTACTATCCAGACTATTACTGAAAAAGTTTGTCAATTCCCAGTATAACTACTGTCTTCTCAAAGTGTGACTCTTGGATTAATAGCAGAGCATCACCTGGGAGCTTATTAGACACACAGAATCTTGACTCTCATCCCAAATCTACAGAATCAGTTCAGCTCCCCCAATGGCTCATGTGCACAGTGAAGTTTGAGAAGCGTTGGTCTAAAGTTTCTAGAGTAGAGAACTCTGATGTAGGTTACCCAGTTCTTTAATACAGCAACCACAGTTTATGTGCTGTGTGTCCCTGCTCCTTTACACATAAATTCATGTGTAATTGTGCTCTTTTTGTTTGTTTCTCCCAGCTTTATACTGAGAAATTTTTAACATAATTCATTTGACAATTAATCATATATCACTGTGATATCATCTCAACTGTTTCTAGATATTTGATAGCTCATGCATTTATGCCCTATTTCCTACCTACAAAGTTGACTTTTGATTGAGAAGAGAAAAGCATTTTTAATTTTTTATTGACCTAGAGAATATATATAGCACATAGTTGGTGCTTTAATTATACTAATTTTCTGCTACTTGTGACTTAAGAATATGAATTCCATGAAAAAATAGGGACAAGATCTGTGGCCTAATAGATTTGGAAAATGTTACATATTATATCTAACTCCTTGATGTTTGCAATTCACATTTTCATATCAAAGACTCTGAGAAATCCTTCAGTGAAGAAATTTGTCTAATGTTGATTACAGCATTTACTCAACTCATTTGACCATGAGATTCTTTCTCACTTAGCTCCTATCAATGTCCCATGTGGATGTTGCAAAATGCTTTGGTAGCATAATCATTCCATAGACCCTGTACTTTAAAAAATTATTTTAATGAATTGAGACCAATTATTATCTGAACAATGATAATAAGAGTAAGTCTAAAACAATTAATAAGCACAATAAAATATTTGAAATAGATCTTAATACTGGCAGAAAGATTGAAGCAGCAAATGAATTTCTTGCAACAGTCTAACATATTTATTCAACTTTCTAAAGTGGTTCATTATATAATGAAACTATTCAATCATTGCATATGCTAAACTGGTTGGTGCTCACATACCACTAAGCTGACCTATTTTTTTGTTTGTTTGTTTGTTCTTTCTAAAAATTCATGTTTTTTGTTCTCCAGCTCTGTGAGTGAGTAAAATTTAAAAAGCAACTCAGATTGTAACATACAGAAGAGATAATGCAGAGAAAAGACCAAATTTGTTCAAACCAGGCAGTAAAGGTAATAATTGTCAAGAGTCATATATATTTATGTCACACAGTTAGGTATGTCAAATTGTTAACTGACCTAAGTGCCTGTCAAGTGACTAAACCAAACATTAAACCACTGTTGTTCAGTCGATCCTGACTCATAGTGACCCTGTAAGGACAGAGTCAAACTGCTCCATAGATTCCCAAGGCTGTAATCTTTATGGAAGCAGACTGCCACATCTTTCTTCTGCAGAGGAGTTGGTGGGTTTGAACCAGCACCCTTTCGGTTAGCAGCTGAATGCTTAACCACTGCACCAACAGGGCTCCTTGTAGGGGTGTAGTGAGGGTAATAAACACTCAGGGACAATCATTAAATTGTATGCCACCCCAATTCGAGTGCTTAGGAGCAATCTCTAAGTTGCACCCCTCAATTTCAAGACGAACAGATACTGATAGTAGTGATGTGTCAGCAGAAATGCCTTCTCCCTCTTGTCCAGTTGCCTCATTCAGGCACCTTTCTTACTTGTGATGCCTTGGAAGTCATTTTGTGCCTCATCTGGTGCCCCCTTAAACTTGCATCTGGGGGCAAATGCTCTTCTCTGCTCCCTATCTACATTTCTGTGTCCACCATGCTTGTGGAAAGACTTTGGGCCCTACCGGGTTGATAGAAACTGCTCAGTGGTGCCTCCCTTTAAGTGGTGCCCAGGGCACATGCCTTATCTGCCATATCTTAGATATGCCTCTGGCTCCTCATCAAGTGCCTAGTTCTATGCTATTATAACATGGTAAGACAGGGTATGACCCAAGGGAAGGGGAAAAACTGCAAATATTTGAACGCAGCTCCTGAAGAAAAAGAAAGGGTGACCTGCCTTTTGACATATTAATGTGGCCAAGATTTAGATAAATGTATATTTAATTTACGATTGGAACTATTTGTACATTAGAGTTAGAAATGACCTAGTAAGTAGGCTCAGTTGTAACCTTAGGAAACTCATTTAGCCTTCCTG